GAGTTCGACGATGAAATTATATAGTTAGAATGTAACTATTATGTATGAAATTTTCAAATATAAGGAAGAGTAAAGTTACTGAAAGTGCTGTAATATTAGACCAATGAATTGGAATACAGAAGAAATTAAGGGGGAGAGGACAGAAAGCACACCGATAAGCCGAGGAACAGTATAGAGACAAATTAAGGTCAGGAAATCACAGACGGGAGAACCAAGGCTGGTTGGTAACGCTGGGACTGCAGGTTCAGAAACATAACATATACGTACACTATGACTGCACAAGGTTATTTAGAAAGTGAGATAGTGTACTGAGAAAGTTTAATCCCAGATATAACATATGTTACATTTGACCACTTTCTAATATGTATTCATAGTTTGGCTCTGAGGACGTGGGGTCGACTCCCGCATGGAACCTTACAAAAGTACAGTTTGTACTTTACTGAGCAAGTGTAGTCCCTAATATAGCATGTGTTTCTTCGTGTACATATAGAATATATCTGCTGAATATATTGACTGCCGTAGTTGCCCCCTGGGGGTGCCCTATTATTCAACAAATATCTGAGCTGAGGGCCGGGGTTGATTTCCCCATATGAGTACAATGTGTGAAGCCTATTTCTGGTTTGTTCAATGATATATATTCCCAATATCAGTCAGGGGCAACTCGGAGAGCTGCAATAGCTGAGTGGGTTAGATCGTTGACTTTGTGTGCTGGCGATTAGGTGTCCCGACTGGGACTCAACCCAACAAAAGTACTACAATATGTACTTTACTGAGAAAGCATAATCCCAAATATAACATTTTTTATTTCACTACTTTCGAAATGGCTTTGTGCAGTCGCAGGATATATGGTGCTCGTCAACATCGACATTACAAGATACCCGACACACTCAGTTGACTCCGATTGTTCAGACCCTTAGAGGCACAATGTCACACCACATTTCTCTAAAAATACATTATGCATTTCTCTCAATAATACTAACTATTAGCCCTCAGGGAAGCTACCATTTAATTAATTCAAAACAAAATTACGTATAGGGATTACAATATTAAATTTAAAAGTTCGAATGAACTAATGCAACGTTGCATTAAATCGACACTCGCGCCCCCTACCGGCCGACAATTATTTCAAGCGAACCCTATAGAGTTATGTCTCTTGGAACACCATAACGCAACTTGTGATTGAAACCAGTTCGGCAAACACCCTCAACACCGCCTGCGGCAGTTATCGATGTATGGAGTAATCGTTTACATTCCATATATGGCAAGTATTATCTGTTTGGAAGCTGTTCGCCTCGAAGTTTGAGTTATCGATTTCAGGCAAGTCGTAAGGGATAATAAGTCTTTTACTGCATCAACAGGAAGCTAAAGTGAGTACCCCAATATTTAAAATAGAGGCCAACATATTGTCGGAAAGTGTGACATTGTGCCTTTAAGGCCAAGTGCCCGGCAGGACTTTGTCGTCTTTCAACCAGCCGCTCTTTCCTCCAAACATTGGCCAGCATCGCGAAGTCTATTCGTTCGTATGCAGCTAGTCTCATGCGAATACGTCCTTTGCACTTAAAAATATTCTTTAAAACCATCGATTTAAATATAGTTCATGTAAGTGGATCGACGTGTCAGCCACTGGATTACCTGTGAAAATTGGATTTTTTACGGACCGCCGTCATTCAACTCGACAGTTGCTGAGTGTGGCGTTAAAACAAACAAATAAATTGACAAAACATATTTAGATCACTACTTGTACGTTTACTGGTTCAGGGGCATATTACATAATCTCGGGCGGCGGAGATGCCTGAGTGGATAAAGCGTTCGCTCGTCATGCCTAAGATCTGGGTTCGATTCTCAACTTGGGTACAGTTTTGGAAGACCTTTACTGGTGTCCAGCGCCGTGACATTGCTGGAATATTGCTAAAGGCGGTGTAAAAGCCTACTCACTTATTCACTTTCTTAATCACTCACTCACACAGGTTTACCTCACGCAGGTATTACTCACCGAAATGTTAATTTGTTAGTGAACGTCAGTGGTTGGCAGAAACAATAGTCAGGACACCATATAGACGTTGTGCCATTGTTAAGATCAACTCTAGAGTGGGTTTCATAGACGTGTATGAGCAGGATGTGTTGTGAGTCAGTTTAAAATTAGAATTTCACTGCGATCAAGCGGAACTAGGCCGGGCCTGTAGCAGGTACCACACGTGCATCAAGGACAATTCGCGACATAAATAAAACATGCAAACATCATATACTCGTTGCCTTCGGCTCGTCAGGATGCATCGCTTATAAGTGATTACAATTCAGAAACAGGGACCAAATGAGACCTTCATTTGTCGCAGTACTCACACAACAGTGCTCAAGTCTATTCTTTCGTCTCATACCAAAAGACGTTAAAATATGGTACTTGCTGGTCACTGCCTCGCGCTCGGCATTAATGGGTACAACAAGAACTGGTCGGCTCGGAGTTAGTATAATGTGTCTGAGTGGGGTATTCATGCTTCACTGCGGCATGGTATCTCAGTGGGCTAGCGCTATAAAACCAGCCTCAGTCTGGGCTAGTACAAGCAGCCGCACATACACATACACAGGCATGCACGTCGTCATATGAGCGAAATAGTCTCAAAGCACGACGTTAGCCAATAATTCACCTCACCTCACCTCACATCTATTCTTTTGTATGCAAGGTTTTGTATGTTTCTCTCTCCCTTATCCGGGTTAGAATTGGTCTTCAGTAACCCATGGTTGTTGCAAGAAGCGACGGGATTGGGTGGTCAGGGTGAATTGGTTAGCATATGTATCCCAATTGCGTAGACCCATTCTCATGCCGTTGAACACTGGCATGACTGGTTCAGACTGGATTATTTACAGACAGCCGCCAAATAGCTGGAATATTGTGTTGAACACCAAACAACAACAAACAACATTCCACCGCCCTTGACCACATTTAGTTCTGAATAACGACAATGATGTTACTCACGTTTCTTAGAACGCCATAGTAGACCTTGCTCTTGGATCCTATTTGATGACCTTGTTTTTGAGATCTTGTCTGTTGACCTTGGGATTTGGTCTGTTGACCTTTGAATCATGTCTGTTTACCTTCGGATCTTGTATGGTGGCGTTGCTCTTTGAATCATGTCTGTTTACCTTTGGATCTTGTATGGTGGCGTTGCCATGCCCACCATGTGCAGCAGGTGCTTGTGGTGGAGTAGTAGTTCTATACTTCCCCTCACTCTTCCAGTAGAACACAGATGTGCAGGAGGTGTTTTCAAAGCATATCAGGGTACACTTTACTCTGCTGACGTGGCTGAAGACAGGACCTGACAGCTCAGCAATGGACGTTCGGCTGTCCAGTTGAAATGAGATTCTTTCATGACGCAGGAAAGGGTTTGGGGGCTGATGACACAGACACATACGCAGTGTGATCCACCAAAATATTAGTTTCATTGTAGCTGTGGCCATATTGCAAGACACTCAACTGAACTGTGCTCAACCCAGATCACAACTATAGAGTCAGTGCCGGATGTGGTTCGGGTTTTAGGCGGAAACGTTTGGCATCAAGTGTTATTTATGGAGACTGTGTGACTGTTTATCGGCGTTAAAATGACAGATTTCCCGAAAAACTCAATTATTCATTCAGTTCTGCCTCAACAACGGAAACAGATCCTTAAAACGTTCAACAAGCACCTTATGTTGCACTGAGAATTGTTTTGGAATTGTATCGCTTCTTTCAGTCAGAGAAATCACCGAATATTCGTTTATTGATCTGTTTGCTTAAAGTAACCAAAGTGTATTTAGACATTGTTTTGGAATTTGTTCAAACATTGTTGTGCCATATAGAACTGGGAAAATATGTTAGGTGCCTAGAATAACTATCAACTTGTTTGAAAAAGAACTTAAATAACATGCACACAGAAGTGAATGATGTTGGGTTGTGTACACTTGTCTGAAAATAACCAGAATATGCCAATGAGAATTCCTTACCTAAACACGTCGTTAGTCCTTAAAGCAGGCAGGACAGGGGAAGACGAGATACAGTGGGGTAACCGGCAGACAGCGGGAAGAGCGCGGACAGATCAGCAAGCCAGGGACAAGGGGTCGAGTACTGACCAACCAGTCCATCCCATCTACCTCCAAGGGTCAACCTGACTTCGCCGCTTTCCACTGGTAGCCTCTGCTGTGTAAATTGTTCGCCCGACGACGCATAGTTGTATTGCGAGAATAGCATAACCATTCTTTGTACGCCAAACTGTATCAGTCAGTTGACCTGATGTTGAATGTTAGATGAACATGAAACACAAAACGTTTTGTGGGTAACACAGATGCGCGAATAAACTCTGACATTTGTAAATTGGTAGTATTGGTACGGCTCCCATTTCCTAAGCTGTGAATACACAATGTCTTTCAGAAAGTGGCAAGATATAACGTATGGCATTTTTGAGATTACATTTCCTTAGTAATTTCCAGGGGCGGTGGGGTAGCCTAATGGTTAAAGCGTTGGCTCGTCACGCCGGGCCGGGTTCGAATCCCCACATGGGCACAATGTGTGAAGCCCATTTCTGGTGTTTCCCGCCGTGATATTGCTGGAATATTGCTAAAAGCGGCGTAAAACCAAACTCAGTCAGTCAGTAATTTCCACAATACCATTTTTAGCAATCGGTCGGTTGTAATAATTTGGGGGTTCCACGTCCACTGAACGCAATATTTTACGAACGTTTCAGTCACTTGTCGCCCCAACCCCTAAACACTGTTCCGTGGACTTCCCTGGTTCATGTTGATCATGCTTTATGCTAGAGGCTAACGGGAATGGCATTCGTGACCAACTCGTGTTAATCCGGGACATGCCGACTGGAGGTTAGGGAAACGGGCGAGTGGTGACGAAAGCGAAGAATGGTTGGCCAGCCTCGATGACGTTACGGAAACGTGCCGTCTTCAAGCTGTGTATAGCGCTGTTCATGATGTCATGTACATATAAACATTTACTTTATTATCATTTCAAATCAACTAACAATACTCGTAACTGCAAAATAAAACCTTATTATGTAGGAAAACCAAGTTCTACGGATAGTCAACTTGTTAATTGTAGTGAGTGTGACGTTTCGGTGTAGGTACTAACACCGTTATCAAGCAAGTGATACACAGAGTTGTAACAAGGAGAATATATACATAGCTGCATTGTGAGTATAAACAATGAACATGGTTGATGTACATTGACTTTCCATAGAACTTGGTTTTCCTTCATCTTTACAACTTCTTTGCATAAAATTCCTCTCAAAGTGCTTGTTGTCAGGTCATGTTATCATAACATGGGCGGTGGAGTAGCCTAGTGGTTAAAGCGTTCGCTCATTACGCCGAAGTCCGGGTTAGATTCTTCACATGGGAACAGTGTGTGAAGTCCATATCTGGTGTCCCCAAATAATGCTGGAATATTGCTAAAAGCGGCGTAAAACTACACTCACTCACTAACATAGCAGGTGACACAAAAACCACGCTGTTGTTAACCAGCTCTTGACTAAACGACATCTTCGCTGCTTATCCCGCGTGCTGATTCCAAACCAACTTTCAAAATCTATCCTGGGAATAGTATGCAAAATAAGTAGGACACCCAAGAAAGAATCAATACACAAAAAGGAATGTATACCAACAAACGGTGATACCTACCTGGGTTGCGAGTGGCGACATTGGGAAATCGTATTAATCACATATAGCAGCTGAGGACGAGGTTCCTAATGTATCGATCCTTTGTGATGAAAGGTGCCACTTCAAGCAGATTTTTCTTGACTGTCTGGACCTTTTAAGTTGCATGGAACACACATTATTAAGCAGTAAATCGGAAAGATCCGTTAACCGTATGAGCGGGCATCCTAATATCAACCACTTGAAATGATGGCATTTCTTTCTAAATGGCATTGTGTATTCAAGCTTGAAAGAAATAGGTGTGTCAAGAATTGTAGATATGGATGTGTGTAATTCATTGCTTGTTTTTAATTGTACACGTCAATGTGGTTTAAATTTTACGCAATTTTGAAATGTGTGAAAAAGGAAATGCCTTTCAAATATACTTTGAATTTACATGGACTTATGTGTATGTGTACACCTGTGAATACACAATACCATTTAGAAAGTGGTCAAATGTAGCATATGTTAGATTTGGGATTACACTTTCTCAGCATACAACGTCAGCCATCTCACCCACCCAAACACCCCTGCTTTCATTTTTTGACGATAACGTACCTGACTCTGAGGATATAGGTTCGAATCCCTTATGGGACTCAGCCCAACAAAAAGTATTAGAATCTGTACTTTACTGAGAAAGTGTATCCATGTCAGCCCGGTTGTGTTACTATATGTGTGAAATATATCCTATGTGCCATTAAATATTAACTCGGTCTCCCTACTACTCGGAGTTACACATTCTTTAGAATTGATTTCCAGTTTGTCCATTAACAATAACAATGTCTAAACTTGGTAAAGGATTAGATGTTTGTCCTCCGATACAAACGAGACGAGTAAAGCAATTCATAAAATTCCAAAGTAGTGTAGCGACTATCCTCCTTGTGGCTTGAGATGTAATGTGAATGAGAGGCAAGATGAGAGTTACTTCTCCATATATACCTCTCTAAGGTAGATGACACTGGGACTTCTATCCTGTCCCAGATCATTCTATAATATTTGTCTAAGTGTGGCAAAGTCTACACGTAGCACACCATTGCCCCTTACTGAATCTGCAGGTACAATGTATAACAGTTTATACACTGCAGCACCTAGTAACACAGCCTCATAAAAAGTACAAGGTTAACACTGATCATGTTTGTTGTTGATGTCATAACGTTTGCCTTTGATAATATTATCATCTAATTCAGGTTCTTGTATAACTCTAGGTTTATCTTAAGGTATCAATCGTTTCTAAATATATCTGGTGGACTTCAGGATTGTCTACATTGATTTACTTACACTGTACTATTTCAACAATCTACACTTGATGTTTTGAGAAAACAGTTAATATTTTGACAAACAGATCTTTGGACATTGATTTTGTTATAGTTGTAATGTATAGAGTTGTTAGCTAATGCTATGCATTTTATAATGATATAACATGTTTATTCTAAGTGATGGTTAATTATATTTAAGCACCTTTAATATTTAGCAGCAGAAAAAAATTAGATAGGCACTGAAATCAAATCATTACAGAAATGGACATAATAAGCAGATAAAAAACATTTTTTGTGTACAATATTCTGACACATCAATAAATAACTCAGCACAATTCCAAGACATCACGTGAACGTTTGCAGTCCATTCAGGCTCTTGACTTCAGTATCTAGTGTGACCACCACGAGCGGCAATAACCGCAGCACAGCGTCTATGCATGAGAGTGCACCAATCGATTGATGAAGGACATTGGGACCTGGAACCACACTCTGAGAAAGGCCTGGCGCAATAAAACGGCTGTGTTCGGCCTTGGTATGACATTATTCAGTCTCCTCTGAATTTCATCCCAGAGATGTTCAATTGGGTTTAAATGAGGACTCATGGCTGGTCACTGCATAATGTTGACACTGTTCTGCTGTAGGAAGTCCCGTGTAGCTCTGACAGTATGGGCCCGGGCGTTATCATGCTGGAAAATGTTGTTCCGGTGACGTTTGAAATGTGGTATGCCGTGGGGTCTCCAAGCTTGGTCGATGTAACACACCGCTGTGATGCCGGCTCCTCTCCCTGGACCAAGGTTCTGGAACACCACAGGACCCATTCTCTGGTTCAGGCCTATTCCACCCCATACCATGATGCTTGCACCTCCCCATGAGTCTATTTCCATAACACATTGTTACGTCGTCGCCATATTCGTCGCCAGTTTTGGTGTTGTAGGGCAAACTGTAGACGTTCACGCTGATGTCGAGGGGTGACGATAGGTCTACAGTAAGGTCTACGGCAATGGAGGTTCCCGTTGTTAAGACGTCGGCGTACTGTATCAGTACTGACTGGTGTTCCGTGTGTTCCCGCTGTCTGGCGTGTTGTTTCGGATGCCTGCATGAAGGGATTCTGTACATGCTGTCGCACAACATGGCAATCTTGTCGTCTTGTGGTGACCCTTTGTGTGCCAGTACAGGACGATGATTTGTGGAGTTGGTGTCCCGGATACGTTGCTGCAGCCTGTAGATGGTCCTAACGTTGACCTTGAAGTGATTGGCAGCGGCTTGTGCAGTGTGGCCAGCTTCAAGTCTTCCTAGCGCCTGGTTCCTCTGAGCTGTCGTGAGTCGCGGCATCCTTCTGACGTTGTAATGTGAGTGTTTCCACCAGGTTTGGGGTGCATTTAATAGGGCTGGTCCTTGTGAACAGCACGTGCAGCATGAGTTGCATGAAAAACATGGAAAACACCGTACCATTTCCGAGATCAGGTTGCGTTTTTGAGACCATCTCCTGGGTTCCATTCTGAGTTTGGGAAGGAATGTCTTTGCTCAGGTAAAGTTGGAGATGTTGTCAAAAATATACAATCAAAACATGAAATGAGTTTACAGTTATCCGTTTCTGCGAAGGAAAATTCCAAACTGACGTTTCTTTTGCTGCTTAGTATATATCCATCTTCTATCGGTGTGAATGTTTATTGAGTGAGCGAGTGAATATGGGTTTACGCTGCTTTTAGCATTATTCCAGCAATATCACGACGAGGGACACCAGAAATGCGCTTCACACATTGTACCCATGTGGGGATCGAACCCGGGTCTTCAGCTTGACAAGCCCACGCTTTAACCACCAGGCTACCCCACAGCCCCTTCAAGGAGAATTACTTTGTATAGTCGACATTGATGTTGCTGATGCATCTATAGTAGGTAGATAGCCTAGTAGGTTCATTTGTTTTTGCATTTAAATCATCTTAATAATTATTTATTGAGTGAATGCGAAGTTATTATAATAAGGCGCGTAGCAAGCCAAATGGTTCGTTAAGCCCGATAGGGTGCAAAGCTTTATATTTAGATAGTATTGAGGGCTTGTCCAACTTTCATAGACAAAATCATATGGAAGCCCGAGCTTTTTATGTAATGGTAGCTACGTCCCTGATAATTATGTTACTCCGAGATTTGTATGCAATGTGAATCATTGTAGTAGTTCGAATAATGAGTAATTAATTTAACACTGCTATAATACTCCAGTTATATTAAGTTCCCTACAGGAATACATTGTTTTTTGTCGTGACTACGCCGAGAGCTGAGGTCACATCAGGCTGCTGCTGCTGCTGCCGACGAAGACCAAGCACCCTTGTGCCAACCACAGGCCTGAGTTAATGTTCATGTTTGTTGTCTTTTTCTGTATAGCTTAAAGTAGTATATTTTGTTTATTTGTTGTGTAAAGCGCTCTACACAACATAACAGCTATATGGTGGCGGTCTATAAATAGTCGAGTTTGGACCAGACACTCCAGTGATCAGTATCGATCTACATAGTTGGAAAAGGATGACAAGCGTCTCCCAAGTCATCGAGTCTGACCACTCGATCCCGTTAGTTGCCTCTTACGACAAGCATGGGTTCCTGAATACCTAATTCTAACTCGGAACTTCACGGGTCTTACGTATGTTGACAATTGTGAGTATCTATTATGTCCTCACCACCTAGCTAAACATAGCAGGCTTAGTACATGGTCAATCCCTTTGTCAACTGTTAGGAATGAAGACACAAATTAAGACTGTCCATTGTAATGCTCATCCATATGTCGTATTTGAAGATTGAACCATTTATGTGAGAATTAGTTTCTTTTAAAAAGTCGTGTTTAATACAGTTGTAAGGAATCTCAGTTTCTGTGGGTTTTACTGCGATTGTTATTAAGTTCTTATGTCACACAATTCTGATCTGGAGTAAACTGTATGTAACTGATGAAGTGAATACAGGTTGCCATGTACTGAATTTTATACTTTAAGCACCACGTTATTTCACATCGGTAGTTAAATCGTGTCCACTGAATGCCAGACGGGCGTACCATGTGTTAGTAATGATGTGTTGCTTGGTAGATGTTTGTGTTGTAGGATGATCTTGCTATAAGACTATATACCACATTGTGTACAAAGAGCAGAGGCTCCTATCACATTCAACAAGATGCAGGAAGATTGCCTAAACAAGGCCTCTTCAGTAATGGTGACACTTTGCAGATATGATAGCTGGTTCATATTACCAGTTTTTTCAGGACATTTGACTATCCTTGAAGGACCATTACCAATGCCATCTTTGCACAGTGTGTGTTCATTGATGTGATCATGGGTATCTCAAATGCCAAATCCACCACAGTTAGTGTACCATGATATCTCATACTGGTGTGCAGTTGTTAAATTCATGTACTCAACAGCTGATAAAGCCAAACAATAAAATAAAATAACATAATTTAAAAAAAATTGTCTCCTCAATGGTAGTTGGTAAGGCCACAGATGAGCAGTACCGTTTGTAAGCTAATGAAACCTGACAAATCACTACCCTATCAAGGAAACTAGCTTCAGTCAAGGAGCACATGTGACACATACAAATGTATATTTGCAGAAGGATAAAGGATGGTGAAGCTGTTGCCCGCGCTGCTGTCTTTGGGTTCACGGCCCTGTCAGTCTAGTATCTGTTCCATTTGACGACTGAAGCAAATGTCATTTTAACAGTTATAAAATATATCAATAACCAGCATAAACATAAATAGTTAATAATACCCCCTAACTCTCTTTTGTGCCTTTGGGCTCTTAATAACATATTTTGTACACATCCGCTTCTAATTGAAATAACATCAAGGATCTAATGTATAGGAGATAGGGGACTCAAGTAGGTATCAATAAATCACATGCAGTAAAACCAGCTATAGTTTAACACCTACTTTGGTTGTCAGTCCAGTTTTGAGGAGGTCATTATCCGACGGTATCCTACTGGCCATTCCAGATATACTCATGACTACTTCTTGAAAGGTGAGGATCCTCCATTTACAAGCATCGTAACGGGCATCTTAACAAGTATTGATAACGGGCATTATAACAAGTATTGGTCACAGGCATCTTAACAAGTATTGGTAAGGGTTATCCTAAGAAGAACTGATCGGTAATTGGTAACGGACATCTTAACAAGTATTGGTAACGAACATCTTAACAAGTACTGGTACGTCCATGTAACTGCAAACGGGCATCTTAATCACTAATGGCAACGGGTATCTTAACAAGTATTAATAACGGACATCTCAACAAGTACTGCTAACGCGAATCTTTAACAAGTTCTGGTACGGGCATCTAACAAGTACTGCTAACGGACATCTTAATCACAAGTGGTAACAGTCATCTTAACAAGTATCGGTAACAGGCATCTTAACAAGTATGGTACGGGCATCCTAACAAGTATTGGTAACGGGCATCTTAACAGGTATTAGAAAGGGGCATCCTAACAAGCATTGGTAACGGGTATCCTAAGACGTCTGGTAACGGTCATCTTAACAAGTATTGGTAACGGGTATCCTAAGACATACTGGCAACAGGCATCTTAACAAGCATTGGTACGGGCATCCTTACAAGTATTGGTAACGGGCATCTTAACAAGTATTGGTAACAGGCATCTTAACAAGTACTTGTAATTGGTATTTCAACAAGTATTAGTAACGGACATCTTTACAAGTATTGGTATCAGGCATTTAACAAGTATTGGTAACGGTAATATTAACAAGTACTGGTAGCGGGCATATTTGCAAATATTGTTATCTTAATAAACATTGGTAACGGGCATCTTAACAAGTATTGGTAACGGGCCTCTTCACAAGTACTGGCAACGGGAATCTGAACAAGTACTGTTAACGGGCATCTTAACAAGCGTTGGTAACGGGCTTCTTAACAGTATTGGTAACGGGCATCTTAACAAGTACTGGCAACGGGCATTATAACAAGTACCATTAACAGGCATCTTAACAAGTATTGGTAACGCGCATTATAACAAGTATTGGTCTCAGGTATCTTAACAAGTATTGGTAAGGGTTATCGTAAGAAGAACTGATAACAGACATCTTAACAAGTATCGGTAATTTGGAACGAGCATCTTAACAAGTACTGGTACCGGGCATCTTAACAAGTACTGGTACGTTCATCTAACTGCCAACGGGCATTTTAATCACTAATGGCAACGGGCATCTTAACAAGTATGAATAACGGGCATCTCAACAAGTACTGCTAACGGGAATCTTAACAAGTTTTCGTAACGGACATTTTAACAAGTGCTGGTACTGGCATCTAACAAGTACTGCTAACGGACATCTTAATCAAAAGTCGTAACAGTCATCTTAACAAGTATTGGTCACAGGCATCTTAACAAGCATTG